CTGATTTGAATCCTCAGCAAACATGTAAAATGTCTTCCCCTCCCTCCTCCCTCTTCCCTCCTCCCTCCTCCCTCCCCCCTGCTCCCCAGGGGCCTTGTCCTCAGACTCCCCACAGCTTTGAACCCAGACTCTGGGTTGGATTCTGCCCTCTCTGCCCCTGAGAGGTCTGGCTGGGGTCAGGAGGCCTCTGGGAGTCTGTAGTGCTGTCCCCTGAGCCCAGTTCCTTCCAATCCCCATCTTACTGTGGGGTGGGGCTCAGAAAGAGGGCTCTGGGTCTCCCAGTGTCCCCAGGAGGGCCTGCTGACAGGTTGAAGAGGCAGCCCCTCCGGCCCTGGGAAGCAGAGGCCCTTGGAGGAGACCTGCCTCCCTGCCTGGGGACAGAGAGAGACGGGGTGCGGGGAGTCAGAGTTCCAGCTCTGAGGTTCTCACTGTGGGTTTCCTGCTGTGAACCACTTTCCCATCTGAGGAAAGAAGCTGCTTCGTGGGGCCCTGGGCTCCTCGTGTGACAGACTCGCAGAGACGGCCACAGACTCCGTCCAGTGGTCTCTAGCGCAGCCGCCACCACTGAAGAATGGCGTCGTCACCACCCAGTGTTCTCCCAGCCCTGAGCAGCCCCTGGCTCCTCCCTGTGCCAGGGTCGGCCTGCCGGGCACCTGGGCGCGCAGTCCCAGCCTGGGGCTCTGCCATCCGGGAGGCTCGCCCACGCTGTGGCAGGCACCACCTCCTGGTCCTTCCTAGGCCCCACAGGGCTCCACACGGCCCGTCTTGTCCTTGTGCTCAGTCTGAGTGGACATTTGGGCTCTCCGGCGTTTTGTTCTCTGCTGTTCCTCGTGAGGCTGGTGGGGCCGTGGGGGTGCTGGCGAGGCCCCTGCTGCTGGGTGCCCACAGCCTCTGTTCTCTAGTACCCCGTTGGGAGGGGCAGCCACACAGCGGTGGGTGCCTTTGTGTGGACACTGTGTGCATGCCCGGAGCGCACACCTGGAGGTGGCATTGCTGGGTCACAGGGACACCTAGGGTTAGGCCTTGGAGGAGCCTCCAGACTGCCTTCTGAGCAGCTAGGGAGTTGAGGTGACCAGTGCCAGCCAGTTCCAAGGCAGGAGGGTAAATGAGCCGCCCCGGGAGTGTGGGCATTTGGGGGATGGGGAGTGCACGGCTGGGGGTAGCATCCTGTGTGGACCCAGGGCAGGGCTCACCTCGGGCCCGGGCCATAGAGCCAGGAAGGGGAACAGCAAGGTTTGGGGATCTGGATGGCGGGCGGGCGGGCTGCCTGCCGCAGGAGTCAGGGTGACCTTCCTCGGCTGGCCCTACCTGCATGCCCCAGGCAGCTTCAGCAGGCGTCACCCGGTCTGTCAGCTTTCCCTGCTCAGCCAGGCATGTGGCAGATGCGGGCAGGAGGCTGGTATCCACAGGGCTGGCTGGTCACATGCCCATGGTCCTGCTGTAGCGGGGTGGAGAGGGGCCTTCCCCAGACGGGCATCTGCCCACCCCATCTGCTGAAAGGTGGCATTTCTCCTCACTGGGGCAGGGTGGGTGGCACGAGCCGTGTCCTGGTCATCACGCTCTCTCCTGGGAGGCAGTGGCTRTGGCTTTCCACCTGCGTGTGACATCACCAACACAGCCATGGTGCACGGCTGTCTGCCCACGGGCGGATTCTGGGGACCCCCAACTTAGTTTGGCGTTGCAGCCCAAGGTGGCTGCCCTCACGCATCCCATGTGTCATCAAACCTTGTAATTCTGAAGTCCTGGGGTGGGGATGAGTCTGCCTGCCCCTGTGCCCAGATCAGGGCGGGGCTTGCTCTGTGCCCTGCCGATGCCCTTCGCTAGAGGAGGCCGCTCTGCCTCAGATGTCCCTTGCCAAGGAGGAGCCACACAGCAGTTATGTGCTGGGGCCTCATAGAGCTGAAGGAGGTGACAGCCCTGAGCCCCTCGGGATGGCCGCTGTAGCCGCCCGCTGGACGCACTGCCCACTCCTAAGCAGGAAGCCGGGGCTCACCTGTTTGCTCTTGGGCTGGTGTGCAGGGGTCCAGCCCCCTGCCCCCTGTTGACTGGGCTTCGTGCCCACTCACTCAGGCTTGGGTGGGTAGTGACCTCCATAAGTCACCATTGCCCTCTGCCTTGGTCTGCCTGGGCCTTTGACTTCCTGGCGGCTCCATGCGGTATGGCGGCTCATCTGGGCCCCTGGCGTGTCCCGGCCTGGGGCTCTCCTAGGGGCCATGTGGTCCTGGCCTGGGCCTCTGTCCATGCCTTTCCTCCTGGCCTCTGGGCTGGGTCAAAGGCAGTCTTGGCCACAGTGAGGGCTGCATGGAGCAGAGAAGTGTTCCCCTCTGTGCGGCCAGATTCCCCAGGAGAAACAGTTGGCCTTGGCTGCGTGACGCTGGTCATTGGTCCCTCTCAGGGCTTCTCTGGCGGGTCCCTCCCTGCCCCAGCACCGGGGCTGAGACCATGGGATCAGAAGAGCCAGCCCAGAGCAAGAGCCCCAAGTGGCCTGACGCCTGTCTCCCCACAGGCTAATGTCCCCGAGGCCCAGCCTCCTGACCCCAACCAGTGATCCCAGGGCCAACACGTCACCTCAGAAGCCACTGGACTTGAAGCAGCTGAAGCAGCGGGCGGCCGCCATCCCCCCCATTGTGAGTGGGAGCCCCCCCCCTTGACTTCCTGTTCCCAGCAGCGGGTGGGCTGGAGTCTGCACCTGCGGCCGCTCCTCCTGCCTCCTGTTTCCTGAGGAGGTCCCCGGGGAGGGGCTGTGGACCGGCGGGGGAGGCGGGAGCCTACAGCCTGCGGGTCTTCCTAGACCCCCGCCCCGGGAGCCAGCTGTGACCTACTCCTCCTTGCATGAGTCCCCTGAGGCCCCAGACTAGTCCATGGGAGCAGGGAGCTGTCCTAGTTCACTGAGGGCCCTTGAGGAGCCTCCAGCCCTGGACAGTCTCCTAGCCAGGCCAGGCCTGTGGGCCTCAGAGGTTCTCCTTCCAAGAGATGGGCACTGGGGGGCTCCAAGCCCACAGGTGGGGCTATTGGTCAGGCTTCATGAGTGTTGGGCACTGGACATGCCTGGCCACACTGCTACACCCCAGGGTCAGCGCTGCCCTTTTCCCATCCCTGATCTCTGTGGAATTTGGGTTCTAGGGATGGAGGTGGGCGGGGAGTGGAGCTGGGCCCTAGCTGACGACCCCACCCGGCAGCTGGGACGGGCCCTTCTCCTGGAGCTGAGTGGTGACCCCGTATGCTTTGTGCTAGAGCTCTCCTATGACCCTGCATATGACCTTGAGTATGTCACTGCCCCTTCTGGGCTCTGACTTCCAGACTGGCCCATGCAGGACACTCACTGACCTGTCACCTCAGACCCTTTACAAGGACGCTCACTTTTCCCTCCCTCCCCAGCAGGTCACCAAGGTCCATGAGCCACCCCGGGAGGAGGCAGCGCCCCCTAAGCCAAGTCCCTCTGCCCCAGCGACCCCGCAGCACCTACAGCCGGAGGGTGGCCCTGCCCAGCCGCCCAGCACCAGTCCTCCAGTCAAAAGCAGGAGCCCTGCGCCTCCCGCCGAGAAGGAGGGTGAGTGTGCCCCCGAGGAGGGCCGGAGGGTGTCTCCGGGGACAGTGGGACAAGTCCAGGCCTGCAGCTAGGGATGGTGGCCGCCTGGAGAGCTGGTGCTTGTCTGTGGTGGGCACACGTGGGCCCACCCACGTTGCAGGGCAGGTCGGGCCTGGGTGGCCCTCGGGGCCGTCTTTTCATGCGACATCCTCACTCTCCACGGGCACTCCTCCATGTGTCCAGAGCATGGTCCCGTGCAGAACCGCATCCGTACCCCCCGCTGGGGTGACTTGTCCAATTGTCCAAGAACCCCAGGTGAGGCCGGGTCCCCAGCTGGCGGGGCGTGCTGCCCTCTACAGCTCTTGCCTGGACCTTGTTCTGGGGTGAGGTTGCCGTGCCCACCAGGGAACCAGGGCAGACCCCTGACTGTGCTGTCACCATAAGGCCTGGGTTGGCAGACTGAGGCGAGCTTTCCTGCCCTCTGTGTCTTGTTTCTGCCCGTTTCATCTGGACTGAGGACTCCTGAGTCTGTTCCCAAACCATCCCCCTTCCCAAGGCCTGACAGGCAGCAAGTACTAAGGCTCATGTGGGGATCGTCACATGACCGACCCCAGGTTGCACCTGCTGGCCGCAGGGGTCCAAAGCAGCAGGCCCAGAGGCTGGTCTCCGTGATCAGCAAGGCTCAGCTGTGACCACTGCCCGATGCCCCTCCCCAGCCTCCGTCATAGCATCTCCTGAGGAAACCCAGCTGGCCCTTGGCCATGGACGGCCTTGGGAAGTGGTAGTGATGGATGCCCACCCTATGCTCCCCGTGGCCATTTTCATGTGCTGCGGAGGCTTCTGTTCTGGGGAGGGTGGACAAGCACCCCTAGCAGCATGCAGGAGCCTCCTGACCCTCCTCCTGGGCAGGGCAGGTGGGATGCCTGTGGTTGTGTTTGGCAGTGGAGATCTGGTGGCCAGAGGCTGAATGTCCTGCTCTGGGAGCTGCTGAGGGGATCCTGAGCAGAACAGGACCGCAGGCGAGTGTTTAGCGGGAGGCGGGCCAGCAACCAGGGCAGGGAAGGCGTCTCTGGGGAGTGTGAGGGGCCAGCTGCGAGGCCGTGGGCAGGGCTGTTCAGGTGGAGGCCCTGATGTGGGCCGTGGACGGGAGTTTTGTCTCACAGCAGCAAAGCCTCCGGTGAGTGGGCACTGGGGAGGGACGCACAGCTGGGCCCCTGTGTTGGAAACATCTCTCAGGTTGCTGGGGGGCAGGAAGGGCCACAGGGTCGGGCAGAGGCACAAGGCCACAGTGAGGTGGCCTGGACTAGGGGCCTGGCCTTGGACACAGGAGGAAGCACGGATCTGGAGCTGGTTTCAGAGACAGGCCGGGGACCTGGTGGCCGCCTGGTGTGGCCAAGCTGTCTCCCTGGGCTGGGGTGCCTGTCGGGAGGGGTGGCCKCATGGGACAGGTGAGGGGTGTGATGCGGGGTACTCTCTGGAAGGACATTCCAGGCTCAGGACAAGAGCCTGAGGACAGCTGTGTATGTGTGTCAGGGACCTGGACAGCTCGGGCTGGTGTCAGCTGGAGTGGGGCAGGAACCACATGGGGCCAGCCAGAGCCAGCTGGGCTGGGTCACAAGCCCCCCCGGGGAAGAGCAGCCACCAGCCGTGGTCTCCATGAGCTCGGACCTGGGCCGGCTCCTAGGCTCGGTTTTCCACGGATATGGCGCACCTGGCGCAGGCTCTTGGCATCTTTGGTCTGGTCGGCAGCTTGGCTCCCCCAGGACACTCTCATTTCTTAGGAAGCAGCTCCCCGCCCTGGCCCCGGCCCCTCTGCAGAGCAGCGCCCCCAGGGCTCCCCTGGGCCCAGCTGGAGGAGCAGGTTGTCTCCCGCCAGCCCGGCTGGGCCCCAAGTCCCTCCCAGACCCAGGCCTCCTCCCCCGCCCTCCAGAGTGGAGAGCAGCTGAGGAGGTGGGCGGGGGCTGGCCAGTGTGGCCAGCCAGGGTGTTCTCAGAGCTTCCTGGCCTGGGCTGGCCCAGCAGAGGCGCCTCCACCAGGGCTAGTGGAAAGTGGGGTCCCCAGGGAGGCCCTCTGTGCCCTTGCCCTTGCCCACTGGGGCAGCTGCCCTCCAGCACACAGTGCAGGGAAGCGCCACGTCTCGTAGGAGGCAAGGTCCACTCTGCAGCCTGCAGGCTGCCCTCCCAGGCCATGCCCATAGCGGGCATCACTGATCCATCCCGGCACTCCCCTGCCTTACTCCACAGGCCCTCAAGAGATGACACCTCCCCTGCCCTACCCCCGGGCCCCAGACCTCCCTCATTGCCACTTTGTGTCCTTCTCCACCTCTGAACTAGTTACCCCTGCCCCCTAGCATCTGTCTAGAGCTTAGCACCGACTCAGCAAAGGGCCAGGGGCCAGTGGGGGAACACCGTGATGGCAGACCTAAGCCCAGGGCCCCTGGCTGTGTCAGTTGAGGGTCATGCGTGGTTACTCTTCTGGTGGCCAGGAGGGGAAGAGCCAGGCCTGGCGCCGAGCCTCCTGCCTCGAAGCTCCCACCTGGTATCTGGGGCCTCAGTTTTCCTGTCTATGAAACAGGGACCGTACCCGTGGCCCTGGAGGTGCTGTGGGGACAGCTGGGCTGATGTGTTCAGTGTTGGTCTAGAGGAGGCCCTAGGAGGGCACCAATTCCTGTCACCATTGACCGCCACACCGGTTCAAATCCTGACCTGGCCGCTTACCGGCTGTGACTGCTGCTGTGTCTGGGTGTCACCCTTGGGCACCTTCAGGGACCTCGCGAAGGCTGGAAGCTGGACCTCAGTGCCAGCTGCCCACCCAAGGGCTGCGGGCACAGAGGGCCTCACTGGGGACCCCACTTTCCACTAGCCCTGATAGAGGTGCCTCTGCTGGACCAGGCTCAGCATGGTGCTGACACTTTGCTCAGCAGATGGCTGTCCCTGTGATGACTGGCACCCCGGTCAGCAAGCCGCAGCCCCCTCTGTGGACACCTCGGCCCAGCCCCTCAGTCTGCAGGAGATGAGTTCAGAGAGGGGCCCTGCCCTGGTGAGGGTGGCGCCCCAGGCCCTCTCGCTCCCTGGCATTGGTTCTGTGCCCTCAGTGCAAACTGCCCATTCCTGTCCCCAGAGGTTCCTGTGGTCTCAAGGGTGGCCCCAACCCCGAGGCACCTCCTGTGCATCCATGCTGAGCAGGTCACAGCACAGCCTCCAGGATGCAGGCAGGAGGGTGCCCAGGGCTGTGGGGGTCCCAGAGGCAGGCAGCTGGGCACCACCTGACTGCCCACCTCATGCCCTCCACAGAGAAGCCTGCGTTCTTCCCAGCCTTCGCAGCCGAGGGCCAGAAGCTGCCTGCAGAGCCCCCTTGCTGGACCTCGGGCCTGCCCTTCCCTGTGCCCCCTCGGGAGGTGATCAAGGCCTCCCCACATGCCCCGGACCCCTCAGCCTTTGCCTACGCACCACCTGGTGAGTGCTTGGTCCAGTCTCGGCTTCTCGGCTGACACACTTACTCAGCTCGGCCTCAGCCACTGGGCCCCGGCTGTTTGCCATGGTCCAGAACCTGGAGAGGGTTTGGGGGCCAGCCAGGGATCTCCTGTCGGCACAAGGGAGGTGGAGGGTGTCCAGGGTTGTGGGGTCTTCACAGCAGACATGTGCCCTGCAGGTCACCCGCTGCCCCTGGGCCTCCACGACAGTGCCCGGCCTGTCCTGCCACGCCCACCCACCATCTCCAACCCACCTCCCCTCATCTCCTCCACCAAACACCCCGGCGTCCTCGAGAGGCACATGGGTGCCATCTCCCAGGTGAGGGGCATTGTGGAGCGGCTTTGTGGCCAGGTGCCCAGGCGTGGCCCCTCCCCCTAGGAGCTGGGTCTGCCCACCTATGGGGTGGGGCTCTGGAGCACTGGGTTCCTTAGGGTCCGGGTCCCTGCACTCAGTGCTGGGTCTGTGCCTGCCCTGGACACCTGGATTCTGGTCCTTGGAGGTCGCTCATGGGGCAGCCAGCGCACCGTGGCCTCAGCTTGCCGTCTGTTCAGTGGTGGGTGGATTAATAGAAGTGAAGGGCTTCCCAGGGTGAGCGCTTGGTGTGTGGCCAGCTGCCCAGCACCTCTTGGGCTATCCCCCCCCCCCGCCCCCAGTGTAGCCAGGTCAGGAATGTGGCGTCCATTCGGCCTGGGCTGCTTCTGCCTACCGTTTTTGTTGAACTGCACCAGGGAGGGGAGGGCTGGAGGCTGTCTGAGTGCGGTCACACAGGTGCACAGCAGGGTGGACTGCAGCCCTCTCCAGCCTCAGGCCAGGGTCAACCCAGGGTCAGCTGGGCTACTCTGGCTGAGGGCCACTGTGACCCGACACTCTGGCCCTGCAGGGAATGTCGGTCCAGCTCCATGTCCCATACTCCGAGCACGCCAAGGCCCCCGTGGGCCCCATCAGCATGGGGCTGCCCCTCACCATGGACCCCAAGAAGCTTGGTGAGGACCTGGGCCTGCCCACCTGGTGGCCTTGCATTGGGCGTGAGGGTGGGAGTCTGGGCCTGTGGGGCTCTAGGTAGCAGTGGGCAGCCCAGCAGTCCTGGCCGGATGCCTGTGGGGGGCCTCGTGCCCACAGGCCCGGGCAGCAGCCCTGGGATGAGGGCTGGTGGGCTGCTCCTCACGGCCCACCCTCTCGCTGGTCTGCAGCGCCCTTCAGTGGAGTGAAGCAAGAACAGCTGTCGCCACGGGGCCAGGCTGGCCCACCTGAGAGCCTGGGCGCACCCACGGCCCAGGAGATGTCTGTGCTGAGAGGTGAGGGCCATCACCAGCAGCCCTGGCCCCCTCCCCAGGTCCCCAGCCTCTGCCCCATATCATCCCCAGCATGGATCCCGACATCTGTCCCTGGACCACTTCCTTAGGTCCCCAGCCTCTGACCCTGGGTCCCCAGCATCTGCCCCTGGGCCACCCCCCAACCTGGGCCCTGGGGGGGCAGCTGCAGACACCCAAAGCGCCCGTGTTTCATGTCTTGCAGGGACATCTCTGGGCTCCGTTGCGGGCGGGAGCATCACCAGGGGCATACCCAGCACGCGGGGGCCCTCCGAGAGCCCCAGTGCCTACCGGGGCTCCATCACCCACGTAGGTGTCCTGGCAGGGCGGGGTGGGCCTCCTGGGGCATGGTCAGGCTGGGACGCCGGGCAGAGCTGCAGCCTCACTGCCCTCCGAGCCCACGTGTAGCACAGGGAGTGGCTGTGGACAGGAGGCAGCCGGGCACAGTGGCTTCAGAGGATGGAGCACTTCAAAGCCAGTGAAGCCCCGTGGCTGGCAGGCTTAGTCCCCAAAAAGTCATTTAGTGGGCAACCGGGGGGCTGTGAGCCAGAGTAGCCGGAATCCAGGGCAGGGGCCGCAGGCAGAGGGCCGAGGTGGTGGCTCGCCTGCTGGAGGAGGGGCCACGTGCTGCCAGCCTTGTGCCATGTGTGCACACTCAGTGGAGTTGTGGCCACCACTGGGACACGGTGCCCTTCAGTGCTGTGCCTCTGGAAGGGGAAGGTTTTGAAATCCCAGCAGCCTTGTGGGGTGTGAGAGCAAGGATTAGGGACAAAGGCCAGCCGAGGGCAGCTGGGTCCCAGCCCTGCCACACTCGGACAGGGACACACCCTCCCGGAGAGCCAATTGCGAGGTCGTAGGGGTCCACGGGCAGTGTGGAAGCCCCTGACCTGCACCTGCCGTGGGTCCAGGCAGCCACGACCAAGCTGTCTGGGCCACACCCACTCCTTGGCTGATCCTGGCGGAGTGGCAGCTGCCAGAGAATCTGAGGCAGGTGAGGGTCACACTGCTCCCAGCCTTGCCGTGAGGGCAGGGTGGACTTGGCTCTTGCCCACCATATGCAGAAACGTTGCTTGGCCATGGGACGTTGGCCACTGAGACACCTTGCCCCACGATCAGCTTGGAAGCCTGAGGTCGTCCCCGTCCTGATTGGCACTCCTTTCCACCTGGGGCAAGCTCATGGGGCCGACATCGAGTGGCCATAGGCCTAGGCACAGGCATCTGTATTCCACGGACTTTGTCCAGCGAACCCTCCCAGACAGGGCCAGCAGCCTGGCTGTGTGTCCGTCCTCCGCCCTGCTGTGGGGCGCACTTGAGGCCCCTGGGTCCCACCAGTGAACCTTGCTGTGGGGAAGCCCCTGAGCTCCCAGCAGACACTACTCCACCCCAACCATTAGGTGTCACCCAAGATACGGTGACAGGTGCACTAATGCCAGCAACCCCAACCCCGGTACGGCCTTTGCTGCAAGGATGTCGGATCCCCTGCTGAGGACTCTCCCAATGAGCTGAGCTGCCACCTGGCCTGACTGATGCCCGCCTGCGCCTCTACACCCATGTCACAGCAAGGGGTCCTGGCTCGCAGTCTCTGCCAGGCACTGTCCCCACCCCAGGGCACACTCCTCAGCAGAGTCCCACAGGAGACTCAGTTCCCCAGGGCAGGGCCTGGAACACAGTAGGACTCCACATCACTGAGTCTGTTCCTGAGATCGCAGAAGGGAAGAGGGAGCTGCGGATCTGGGGACACCTTGTCTGTACCAGGTGCCTTTGAGAGTCTCAGAGTCGAGGCTTCATTTTGTAGATGTGCAAACTGGGGTCCACACAGACAGGGACTTGGCAAAGGCCACACGGCAGCTGGGTCAGCTTGCTGTTTGATTCCCCAAAGACCTGTCTCCAGAGTGGTGTCCTGACGTGTCCACTGTTCCTGGAAATCGCCCAGCAGGGCCTGCCCTCTGCGTGAGCACACCCTTCAGGGGCTTGCTGCTTCTAAAGGGTGGCTCTCCACTAGGGACAGTCATACCCCCAGCGGACACTGAACAGCATCTGGGGATATTTTGGATCGTCACAGCTTGGGGAGAGGGGCTGGGGAGTGTGCGTGGTGTGTCCAGGCCAGGGTCACTGCCAGCCATTCGCCAGGGCCAGAGTCATCAGCCCCAGGTTGGGAGGCTCAGGAGCCAGTGTCTGACACCCAGCACTGAGCAGAGCCTTTGTCCTGGTTTCGGGAAGCCTGGGCAATGGCACTTGGTCGAGGACCCGAGGCAGGAGCTGAGTCTTGTGGCCAGCAGCTGCCCTGAGACATCTGACCCCTGAGCTCCCCGATGGTGGCGCCCCCACCTGGCACAGGGCGGGACCACTGCAGTCCAGGCCTTGGGTCGAGTCCAGCTCCTACCTCACTGGCCAGGCAGCTCTGGGCGGAGCACCTCACCCGAGCCTTTGCTTTGTCTGAGACAGCACATGGCCCTGTCCATCCTGGGTCAGTCCCAGGACTGAGAGATCAGGACGGTGTTGGCAGGCTATCGCTACGTGGCAGCCCTCTGTAAAGCAGGGCTCCTGGTCCTGGTGCGTCTCGCCTTATGCCCTGTGTCCCCATGGGCTCTGCCCCCATGGAGATGCCACACGTGTATGCACACATGTGCTCAGGTGGGCCACGTGTGGATCAGGTCACCAAGGGTTCCGTGTTCAGCTCTCCATCCCCACAGGGTACCCCGGCCGACGTCCTGTACAAGGGCACCATCACCAGGATCATCGGCGAGGACAGCCCCAGTCGTTTGGACCGGGCCCGGGAGGACAGCCTGCCCAAGGGCCACGTCATCTACGAGGGCAAGAAGGGCCATGTGCTGTCCTATGAGGGTGAGTGCAGGGTGGGCAGCCCCTGGCCTCCCCTCCCCCCATCGCAGGGATCTCTGGTGCCCAGAGCACACTGCTGGGAGGAGAAGGGTGCTGGGGAGCTCGTCACTTGGTCACTTGCGTCTCCCCGTGAGTTTGTGCCAGGGCTGGGGACAGGGCAGACATTAGACCAGGCCATGTCCCACCCTGTTAGCTCCTGGGACGCCACGGCAGAAGCGAGTCAGAAGTCCCTTGTTAATTTTGAGTTGTGGAAACCTGCCCTTCTCGTGAGGCCTGTCCACCAGACCACGGGCCTTGGCACGTCCACCGCTGGTTAAGAAGGGAGTGTCCCAGACCCACAGTGGCATGGGAGAGCAGCCAGGTGCCTGTGGACAATCCAGGGCAGGGGTTGCCTCCTATTGGCTCCTGTGCTGAGAGCCGGGTGGAGGAGACGGGGTGCCCCTTACCCAGGTCCTAGGTCCCAATGTGGGCGTCCTCCTGACCCTCAGAGACAGACAGCAGGACCAGGGGATGAGGCCTGACCCCTGGATGTGGTTCACGGGCAGGCTGGGGTCGAGTAGACTAGGAGTGCAGTCTGAAGGGTAGTGCGGGCCAGGCAAGGGTTGGCCCCGGGGCCTTCCCCCATGCCCAGTTCTTTATTACTAATGCTATGGTCAGCCTGTGAGGGAAGAGGCCCAGCACTAGGTTCCCGTGCTCCCTGCTGGGCCCAGCTCTGCACGCTCCCGTGGCCAGCATGACTCCAGTCCCCACTGGCCCTGCCCCTCCCAATCCTTCCCCTCCACCTCTGGATTCTGGAACCAGGAGCCCTGGGGTGAGGGAGGGCAGGGGCTCAGTGCAACAGGCGTTTCCTGGCAGCCCTGGGCACTCAGTGGTGTGGACCCCAGGGTGCTGCATCCAGTTGCTTCCCCCCACCCCGGAAGTGGAGCTGGTGCCTTGTGGCTTGGGGATGAGCTGCAGCTGCCTCTTCAGCCCCAGTGGAGTCCCCCGGGGATGGTAGTCTGGGGGATGACTGGCTGGTGGTCAGGGTGGCATCAGAGACACCCTGTAGCCTGGAGCTTGTTATCCTCACAGCAGCTAACAGGACAGCGCTGGGCAGGGGACGGCTACTGACCTCTGCCCCCTCTGCACAGATGCTGCCCTATCTGGGGATGAGGAGTCGCCTCTCCACAGGGACTCCTTCACCCCACRTGCGTTGACCCAGGGCACATGCATATCTGCGCGTGCGCCCACAGACAGGTTGTGTGGGTGTCCCTTGTCACCCCTCTGTCCACATGGCCACAGGCCTCTGCGGCAGGCTCATGACTGTTTGCACATGCGTGCCCGTGTCCACGCCTCCTGAGGGCCTTGTGTAGGGCCAGACTCATGCCCACTCGCCAGCAGGAGAGCCTGGGCCGCGGCAGCAGGCAGCATCTCTGCCTCTCCATCCAGGAGCCCCGGGCTGCTGGGAGGCCCACAGCGGGCAGAGGCCAGTTCCTCAGGTGCCTCCGTCTGCTCTCCAGGTGGCATGTCTGTGTCCCAGTGCTCCAAGGAGGACGGCAGGAGCAGCTCAGGGGCACCCCATGAGGCGACGGCCCCCAAGCGCACCTACGATGTGATGGAGGGCCGTGTGGGCAGGACCATCTCCTCAGCAGGCATTGAGGGTGGGTTCCGCCCGCTGCCCACTGCCCACCCCAGGGACACAAGTGTGGGCCCTCACTCCTGCCCTGGGCTTCCCAGCTGGTGGGGTGTCAAGGGACAGTGAGTGGTCTCTGGATGCCTCGCAGGGAGGYGGTGGGGTGGCCGTCCCTGATTCACAGATGGCTGAGGCTGGACTCCATCTGGAGGCAGCATGAGGCCCAGAGGACGGGGCACTTGCTGCTAGGTCCTGTGCCCCAGCCTGTGTCGTGGGTGTAGTGGTTAGCAGACCCTGCCCCTTGCCCACGGCCGGCTGGGGACGTGCCGTGACGCCCTGCTTTCCCCAGGTCTCATGGGACGCGCCATGCCCCCCGAGCGGCACAGCCCCCACCCCCTCAAGGAGCAGCACCACATCCGCGGCTCCATCACCCAAGGTACGGCCCCTGCTCCCGTGGGGCTGGGGCCCATCCCGGGGCACAGAGCAGGGTGGGAGCTGGGGGGCAGATGCGCAGGCGCTTGCCCAGGGCGTGTGAGGATGGACGGGCCTCCGGGGATCGCCTGGCGGGGGTGGCCCAGCAGGGCCTGCAGAGGGTAGTGTGCGCGGCCAGAGGTGCCAGCCCTGTGCCTGTTCCCAGGTCTGGGGTGGAGCCCAGGCTGGCCCAGGTGGGCAGTGCTGCGCCCAGCCCTGATCTGTGCTGTCCTTGGGATGTCACACACTGTCCGTGTATGTTAACGAGGTCACACCGGGAGGACTTGGGCTCCAGACCTGGCTGGGGAGGACCCAGGGTGGCCCAGCAGGGTGTGCAACGTGTGCTGAGGGTGGTCCCTTCGCGTGGCAGGGATCCCGCGGTCCTACGTGGAGGCCCAGGAGGACTACCTGCGCAGGGAGGCCAAACTGCTGAAGCGCGAGGGCACGCCACCCCCGCCACCGCCACCCCCGCGGGACCTGGCTGAGGCCTACAAGACCCGGCCCTTGGAGGCCCTGGGCCCCCTCAAGCTGAAGCCATCCCACGAGGGCCTGGTGGCCACCGTGAAGGAAGCGGGCCGCTCTATCCACGAGATCCCCCGCGAGGAGCTCCGGCGCACCCCTGAGCTGCCCCTGGCCCCACGGCCACTCAAGGAGGGCTCCATCACCCAGGTACGGGCAGGGGGGTGGCCGGCCGTGGGGCATCACGGTGGTCCTCCTGGTTCTCCGTCCCCATTTGTTGGTGAGTCGCTGAGGTTCAGAGAAGTCAAGGACTCACCCAGGGCCCAGCAAACCCGAGCCTGTGTCCTGCAAGTGGCATCCCCTGCGGCCCCAGCCGGGTGGGGAGGACCTGCCGTCATGGTGACAGTAGGAGTCTGTGGAGCCCCTGCAGGCCACTGTCCCCTCATGGTCGGAGGTGGCCGGGTGTACAGTTGTGAGGAGGGTCAGGAGGGCTCCCCAGGTGGTGAAGGGCACCCCCAGCCACCATGTCTCTGGGTGAAGATGTCCACACCCCCCAGGGCACAGAGGCTGGGGAAGGACTGGCTCTCRGCTCTGGGCAGCAGTGGAGCCATTGGAAAGGACCCACCTTGTGTCCAAGATGGGGCAAGGCTGATTTTAGAATATCCTCTCAGAAGCTAGAACGTTCCCCCTCCTCAGGAAACTGGTTAAACATGGCTGAATAAAGGGACCAGGCCTGGACCCCGTCTCCCCAGCCTGCTGGGACAGAGCAGGCTCTGCTCCTGGGAGACTTGGCTTCTTGTTCACCGTCAGCTCCACAGCTGCCCTTTTGGGCCAGAGAGCAAACGTGAACCTCATCCTCAAGCTCAGCACCCACGGCCTGGCTCAGGATGGTGGGGCGGGGTTCCCAGCCAGGTCTTGGGCGCACCGTGGAGGGTCCCTGCCGACCAGAGGAAGCTTGGCCCATGTGGGCAGGGCTCCTTCCAGTACGCCCCAGGGCTAGTGGATGGTCCACCACTTGCCTGGGGAGGATTGACTGACAGCTGAGCCTTCTGCCCCTTCCTGCAGCTCCCAGGTAGCTCTGGCCAGGATGAGGCCAGGCCCAGGCAGGCAGGACGCCGGCGTCTGTCCTGGGCTGGGCGTGAGAGTTGGCGCCCTCTGTCCCCAGGGCACCCCGCTCAAGTACGACACAGGCTCGTCCTCCACGGGCTCCAAGAAGCACGACGTGCGCTCCATCATTGGCAGCCCTGGCCGGACCTTCCCACCTGTGCACCCGCTTGACGTGATGGCGGACGCACGGGCTCTGGAGCGTGCCTGCTACGAGGAGAGCCTGAAGGGCCGGCCGGGCGCTGTGGGCAGCTCCGGGGGCTCCATCACCCGTGGGGCCCCGGTCATCGTCCCCGAGCTCGGCAAGCCACGGCAGAGCCCCCTGACTTACGAGGACCATGGGGCACCTTTCACCAGCCACCTGCCCCGCGGCTCACCCGTGACCACCAGGGAGCCCACGCCTCGCCTGCAGGAAGGTGAGAGTGGGTGGCGCGGTGGGCTCCTCCAAACCCCCACAGAGCGCGTCTCTGCCTGGTCCTCTCTCAGGGCCTTTGCACGTGCCAACCCCTCTGCCTTCCCCAGCAGCACCTTCCCTGCCCTGCTCAGTCCCCAGCCTCTGTTCAAAGGTCACATCCTCGGGACACTCTTACACCCCTCCTCTCAGTTCTGATCACGTCCTGTGACAGTTTCATTCTGAACGTTTATTGTCCTGGAGTCCTTGTCTGTTCCTGGTCTGTCTCTGTCTTCTGATTCAAGCGTCAGCTCCGCAGGTCTGGGATGTGGGTCTGTCTTGTCCCAGGGGCCTYGTGCTCTGGGCAGCACTGGGTGCCAGGCGGAGGCCGCACAGATGTTTGGTAGATTGAATGAAGGAACCCGGAGGGAAGGAGTGGACGAGGGGTCTGGTTGAAGAAATTGCAGAGAGAATGGGGGGGGCCGGGAGCTGGCCACGGGCTGGCCCGGGGAGGAGCCTGTCCTGGGGGAGCCCCGTGACAGCTCCCCAGACGCCAGCCCCCGCCCTGCCCTGCAGGCAGCCTGTCCTCCAGCAAGGCGTCCCAGGACCGGAAGCTGACCTCAACACCCCGCGAGATCGCCAAGTCCCCGCATAGCGCGGTGCCCGAGCACCACCCGCACCCCCTCTCCTCCTACGAGCACCTGCTGCGCGGCGTGAGTGGCGTGGACCTGTACCGGGGGCACATCCCGCTGGCCTTCGACCCCACTTCCATACCCCGCGGGATCCCTCTGGACGCAGGTGACTGGGGGTCTGGAACCCCCACCCTGGGAGGCGGGACACGGGTGGGGACCTCAGCAGCACCAGCACAGGGACCCTCAGGGATCAGCAGCCAGACTCCCTGGAGGGGTGCTGAGGCCTAGAGGAGCCAGCGCCGGCTGGGCGTGTTGGGCCTGGAGCGGACCCTGGGCTGGGGGCTGGCTCTGCCCTGGACCTGAGCTGGATCAGGCTGGGCGGGGGCTTCTGCCACACGGCCAGGTTGGGGCCTTTGTCCAAGGACAGACCTGTTGGGGGATCAGAAGGCCCCTCCTGAGGCCTCCGTGTGGGCACCTCAGCTGAAATGCCGCGTGGCCTGGTCGGGCGTGTACTGCTCGTTCTTCGGGAGCCCATGTCACCTATAAGGACGGTAGGTGTCTCCACTCCCTGTGGCCTGGCTGACCTCGGTCCCCTCCCCACAGCCACTGCCTATTACCTGCCGCGACACCTGGCGCCCAACCCCACGTACCCACACCTGTACCCGCCTTACCTCATCCGCGGCTACCCGGACACAGCGGCGCTGGAGAACCGCCAGACCATCATCAACGACTACATCACCTCGCAGCAGATGCACCACAACGCRGCGGCCAGCGCCATGGCCCAGCGCGCGGACATGCTGAGGGGCCTCTCACCCCGGGAGTCCTCCCTGGCGCTCAACTACGCCGCTGGCCCGCGAGGTGGGCAGTGGGCTTCTCCCCGGCTCTGGGGCTTGCTGGGATGCAGAAGCCACTGCGCGCCCACTGGTTGGGGGTTTGGGGTTATGGCACAGGCGTGTGCGCGTGCACGGTGCTCTCCTAGCACTCAGGCTGGCGGGCTGGGGGGGGCAGCCCTGGTGTCCTGGGCGCCAGGCAGCAGTGCTGCAGGCCAAGGTGAGAACCAGTCGCGGGCTTTGTAGACAGTGAGTCTGGGTGAGGCTGGTGGTGAGGGGACAGCCCCGAGAACAGAGGCCACCCAGGCAGGGAGCGACCCTCCAGGGCAGGGGCGGGGGCTGCCCGTCCAACACTCTGGGAAAGGGTCGTGGAGGTGAGTCTGTTTTCCCTGGACGGTGCGGGGCTGCTGGCTGTCGCCATGCCCCTTTTTCTGTGGCTAAGCCCCATGTCCCCACCCCAGGCATCATCGACCTGTCCCAAGTGCCACACCTGCCTGTGCTGGTGCCCCCGACGCCAGGCACCCCGGCTGCCGCCATGGACCGCCTAGCCTACCTGCCCACAGCGCCCCCGCCCTTCAGCAGCCGGCACAGCAGCTCCCCACTGTCCCCAGGTACCACAGGTCCCCGAGCACTGGGCGCGAGCAGGGAGAAGCCCTCCCTGGATCGGGGCTGAGTCTGGCCTTGGTCCCCAGGAGGTGCCTTGACCAAGCCGACGGGCACAGCCTCGTCAGAGCGGGAGCGAGAGCGAGAGCGGGAGCGGGACAAGTCCATCCTCACGTCCACGGCGACCGTGGAACACGCGCCCATCTGGAGACCCGGTAGGCGTGGGCTCCACCCTGGGCCCGCGGGTCCTCGTGGGGCCTGGGCGGCTCCCTGATGATAGCCTGTGCCCAGGTACAGAGCAGAGCAGCAGCGGCAGCGGCAGCGGTGGCAGCGGGGGTGGGGCCAACAGCAGCCGTCCTGCCCCCCACCCTCATGGCCAGCAGCACTCGCCCATCTCCCCTCGGACCCAGGACGCCCTGCAGCAGAGACCCAGCGTGCTGCACAACACGGGCATGAAGGGCACCGCCACCCCTGTGGAGCCTAGCACGCCCACGGTCCTGAGGTGGGCCAGGTTGGCACCAGGGCGGGCAGGGCAGGGTGGGCGAGGGCGGGCGGCAGGCGTGCTGGACACTGTGGTGGTGGCCGGGCCCCGTGGCAGGTGGGCAGGCAGACGGCTGGGTGAGCAGGGGCCTGGGCAGAGGTGATGAGCAGAGCGGTTGGGCGGGCAGCTGATGGGGTCAAGGGGCCGGGCATGAGGGGAGGGTGGGGGTGGGGTGGTGACCACGGGACAACAAGGCCCCGGGAGTGAGTTTGCAAAGGACAGGGACGTGGGGGGGGGGGGGGGGGGGGTGGTGACCACGGGACAACAAGGCCCCGGGAGTGAGTTTGCAAAGGACAGGGACGTGGGGCTGGTGCCGGACCCCGGAGACCCTCTGGGCTGCCCTGCCCTTCTGGGGAGGAGCAGTCCCTGCCCTCAGCCACAGTCAGTTGGCCCTTTGCTGGTCTTGTAGAAGGCCTCTCCGCAGGAGGCGCTAGCCATGGTGCCCTGGGCCATCTTGTTCCCTGCCCTTTCCAAGGGGCTGGTTCCTAGTAGGTGTTTAGTTAAAACAGCCAGCTCTAGGGCGGGTGGGCCGTGGGACTGGCCGTCCTGCAGGTCGGCCCAGGGCAGGGAGCTCACTTAGGGTGGGGCGAGGTGAGGCAGTGGCCCCAGCCACCTGACCACCTTCTCTTTACCCCAGGTCCACCTCCACTTCCTCGCCTGTCCGCCCAGCTGCCACATTCCCGCCCGCCACCCACTGCCCGCTTGGAGGCACCCTCGAAGGGGTCTACCCCACCCTCATGGAGCCTGTGTTGCTGCCCAAGGAGGCCTCCCGGGTGGCGCGGCCTGAGCGGCCCCGTGCGGACACCGGCCATGCCTTCCTCCCCAAGTCCCTGGCCCGTGAGCCTGCCTCCTCCCCCGGCAAGACCTCCGAGCCCCGGCCCCTCGCGCCCCCCAGCTCCAGCCATGCGGCGGCCATCGCCCGCACCCCAGCCAAGAGCCTCGCAGCCCAGCACGCCAGCCCGGACCAGCCGGCGCCGTCCGCCTCGGCCTCGGACCTGCACCGGGAAAAGACTCAAAGTAAACCCTTTTCCATCCAGGAAATGGAGCTCCGCTCTCTGGGTAAGACCACCCTGACAGCGGCCACCTTCATAGACGCGATAATCATGCGTCAAATTGCTCACGATAAAGGGCCGCGAGAAGGAGGTTCGCTGGCCGCCGACTCCCCTCGCGATGGTAAGCTCCCGGCCCCGCCCCCGCCACCTCGGGGCCCAGAGACGTTTCAGATCTTTGCTTTTTATTTTCCCCCATTTTTTTTCTTTTTTTTTTTGTTGTTGTTGGTTTTGGCATTTTGTTTTTAAGCCCGTTCTTGTGGATTTGCACGCTCTGACGATCCTCAAGCTGCTGCCTGTCCCTCTGACCTGGGGACACCTCACCATTCGCACATTGTTTTATCATGATTTTTTATTATTTTTATTTTTATTTGTTTATATATTTTTTTGGATTTTCGCTTTCCCTTTGGTGGATGGACCTGTGGTTTGCACCGGGGCCGTGCCTGCATCTCCCCGCTCACGCCCTCGTCTGGGGAGCAGGGGGGGGAGGCCAGGGGCTTCGGCCTGGTACCGTGGGCCCAGCTGGATTGGGAGGAAGCCCAGGAGGGAGATTCTGGGGAGGGGCGGGGGCCGCACTGTCCAGGAGGGCCAGGAACCCCAGCTCTGCGTCTTGCCGGGTCGTGAAGGGGCCCGGGAAAGCCCATGCCCAGCCCCGAGTGCCCAGAGGCTGGGGCGCCTCCGCAGGCAGCCACTCTGCTACCTCCGGGCGCAGGCAGGGCTCCTGGGCCGGGCGTTGCTCCAACTGCCTGTTTGTCCCATGCTCTGCCCCACGCTCCTGCCCCGTCCCCTCTGTCCTGCCCTGAGTCTGACTCTCCCTCTCCTGCCTCTCTGCATCTGCTGTCTGGCTCTTACTTTGGTCTGTCTGCGTGTCCACTGGTCCCTGTAGATCCCCCAAGTGGGGGGTTATCTCCCTCAACCCCAGGTCCCTGGCTCAGGCCTCCACCCTGCCCCAGGCCCCCTCCCCTTGGACCCCAGTCAGCAGCCTGCACCCTGAGTCCAGCTGCCTCCTGCAGGGTACCACGGTGGGTACAGCCCCGATGGGGTGGAGCCCGTCAGCCCAGTGAGTTCGCCCAGCCTGACCCATGACAAGGGGCTCCCCAAGCACCTAGAGGAGCTGGACAAGAGCCACCTGGAGGCCGAGCTGCGGCACAAGCAGCCAGGTGGGTCCCACTCACAAGACAGGAACAGCCCTGGCCTGTTCCTCAGCTGGCCCCAGGTGCCCCCGCCCCTGGCTGACTGGACTCTGCCCACAGGCCCCACGAAGCTCGGCCCTGAGGCTACCCACCTCCCACACCTGCGGCCGCTGCCTGAAAGCCAGCCTGCCTCCAGCCCATTGCTCCAGACTGCCCCTGGGGTCAAAGGTCACCAGCGGGTGGTCACCTTGGCACAGCACATCAGTGTAACTACCTGTACTCTGCCCTCTGCACCTGGGGTGGGAGCCAGGCCCAGGGAGCGGGGAGGTCCCATGGCCCTTCAGTCCTGGTGGGGTGGCCAACGGGGCGAGATCCCAGAGGCAGTGGGGCAGGTCCAGAGCCCCAGGAAGCTGAGCACTGAGCACAGCCAGCCCCTGGCACATCTGGAGGGGCTGGTGGAGGGCCTCCTAACCCCTGACCCGCCTGCAGGAGGTGATCACGCAGGACTACACCAGGCACCACCCGCAGCAGCTCAGCGCACCCCTGCCCGCCCCCCTCTACTCCTTCCCCGGAGCCAGCTGCCCCGTCCTGGACCTGCGCCGCCCACCTAGTGATCTCTACCTCCCACCCCCAGACCACGGCGCCCCAGCCCGCGGCTCCCCCCACAGCGAAGGGGGCAAGAGGTGAGCATGGGGTGGGGGCTGTGGGTACCTGGCCAATGGTCTACCGCGTGGGGGGACTGGGAGCCTCCCTGTACCCCTGGATGCAGGGACATTGCGCCCCTTGACAGGTGAGGAGACGAGGCTTGGGGAAGTGGTCACTGGCTCCTGGGACCTGCCCCCAGCACACGCATGTGACCACAGGCCTGTACACACTCCCACCAAGGGCTCCGGGGCTCCGTGGTGGCAGGTGGCCCCCAGGGGGCATGCCTTGCAAGTGAGGCAGACAGCAGGTGTCTCTGGGGAGCAGCGCATGGGTGCCACCAGGGTCAGAGGAGAGGTCAAGACACATTGGCCTGCGGCCAGACCCAGCCCAGGACCTGCTCTGTGTGGCTCAGGAGCAGAGGTTGCTGGTGATGGACTCTGTTGCCGGGCCACTCACGGAAAGCGCATCCCGACTGCCAGAGTGGAGACTGGGGCCAGGGGTGTCACTTTAGGGATGTGCTAACCACAGCTGGGACCCTCCCTTCACCCAGGTCTCCAGAGCCAAGCAAGACGTCAGTCCTGAGCACCGAGGATGGCATTGAACCTGTGTCCCCACCAGAGGGCATGTCAGAGTCAGGGCACCCCCGGAGTGCCGTGTACCCCCTGCTGTATCGGGACGGGGAGCCGGCAGAGCCCAGGTACCCTGGCAGCGCAGGGCCCCTCCAAGATTGTGACTTGGCCCCTCCCCCAGCCTTGTCCTCTGCTGGTCCCTGCCAGTGGGGGTCAGCAGGCTAGGCTGAGTGACCTCAGGCCTGCCAAGCAAATGCCACAAACCTGGGGGGTGGGATGTGTGCCCTCACTGGGGGACTAGGGTGGCAGTTCCTGTGCCCTGAGCTGGGGTCTCAGCTCAGACCAGGCCTGTGAGGACCTGGAAGGCGGGCTAAGTGCAGTGGGCCAGTCAGAGGTTCAGGCAGCCCCTCTGCAGCGGGGAATACCTGGGCCTGAGCCCAGGGACCCAGGAACAGCCAAGGGGGCGTGGGAGGTGCAGGTTGTGGGCAGGCCGCTGATGGGTATCTGACCCTTGCTGCAGGACGGGCTCCAAGTCCCCAGGCAACACCAGCCAGCCACCGGCCTTCTTCAGCAAGCTGACTGAGAGCAACTCGGCCATGGTCAAGTCCAAGAAGCAGGAAATCAACAAGAAGCTGAGCACGCACAACCGGAACGAGCCGGAATACAGTAAGGGAGCCCGGCCGCCCTGTAGTGGGCCCCGGTGAGGCCAAGCCCAGCACTGCTGACCCCTCCTGGGGCCCCCCTTCAAGGACCCTGGGAAGTCCTGTCTGCAGGTCCTTCTGCAGGCGCCCAGCAGCACAGATGCGATGGCAGGAGCGGTGCGGGGCACCAGGGCCGGTTCCACCCACGGGGGCTGGGTGGCAGTGCCCCCTTGAGTGCTATGGGAGTCCCGCACTTAGTGCAGAGGACCTCGAAGCCCCCTCTGCAGATGCCCGGCCGGGGCCTCTCCCCTTCTGGGGCTGGAGAGGAAACCGACCTTCACCGAGGCCAGTCCCTCCAGACCTGGCTGGCAATGTGGTGTCCTGGGGCCCCAGCCCAGCCCCAGGGTGCTCCCTGGGAGTGCAGGGTGTCACTGCCACCCCAGACCTGCAGCCTGTCTGAGGAGCATGGTCCCAGGGTATTGCCAGACCATGCAGCCAGGGGACAGGTGTGAGTGACCATCTCCAGGACAACAGCCTCACCCACCTTGTTGTCCCACTGCAGACATCGGCCAGCCTGGGACGGAGATCTTCAATATGCCTGCCATCACTGGAGCAGGTAACACACCCTGCGCTGGCCGCTGGCTGCCCACCTCCCCACCCAACCTCCACCCCAGCTGCTGCGTGGGGACCAAGAGCCTTTCCTAGTTCAGGGGTGACCCTCTTCCCAGTCCCCCCCACTGCCGTGAGGTCCAGAGTCCCACAGCAGGCACTCGAGCTATGGCTGCAATGAGGTGTCTTTGGAGTTCAAGGTCACGGTCCCATGAGCTCAGTGAGTGCTGGTGGGTGGTGCCCGGAGATGGGTTTCTCTGGTGGAGGCTGCAGCGCCTGGACCAGGTGTGGGCCCAGGCAAGGAGCAAAGCCCTGGGGTCTTGGTGGGCACTTTCCATGGCTCGAGCCTCCAGTTTACTCACGAATTCAAGCGGGGGTACGGCGGGGGACGATGGATGGACTTTTGCCAAATCAAATGCACACGTATGAATTGTTGGGTGTGAAGCTCACATGTGTTTTTACACTGAAATTTGAGACTCCTTATGATATTTTGTTGGGTAGACTCACCACTCACCCACCCCAGCCTCTAGTGGGGCCCTGTCCGAGTTCCACTGGGGGCCATGCCAGCAGGGTGGCTGGGCCGTCCGCAGTTGTCCCTGTGGAAGGCAGAGGGGTGGGGCTTTGGTGAAGTACCTCCGAGCAGTGGCTGAGCCTAGGGCAGACTGGGGTGACCCCCTGCCGGCTGAGGAGCTGGGGTCTGTGGGGTTGGTTCCTGCATTTGCCTGGTATCACCCTCCCCAGGGCAGGGGAGCTGTGCTGATCTTCTTGGTGGCCTAGAGCCTTAGACTGTGGTGAGCAGAGGACAGTGTTGGATGTTACCAGGGGCTCATTGGGGCCTCCAGAGGATGGTCCCCGGGACCGTGCCCATCTGCCCCTGCTAGAGACTCATGCCCCAGGCCCGAGGGGACAAGGGTTGCAGCAGCAGATGGTTAGACATGGCCGTTGGTGGGGTGTAGCGGGCGCATAGGTGTGGAGCATCGGAGCCGACAATGCAGACTGTACCAGGGTTTTAAAAACATTCTCATGATTATTTTTTTGTTGTTGTTTCTTAAAAGCAGTTTAGTCCATAAAACCAACTTTCCCCAGGCCCTGGTCCCTGGTACCAGGCTTCACCTTGGCAGATGGCCTGACTGGCTGCACTGGGCCCTGACTCTGACTGGGAGGCCCAGTAGCCTTTTAAGGGCTGCAAGGGGTCCCAGCGGCCAGTGCCCTTGAAGGACAGGGAAGGACAGGGAGGTGAACAGCCATCTGCTGCCCCAGGAGCGGGGGCTTTAAAAGTGGCCCCTTGGCTCCGACCTTAGGAAGCCCCTCAGGAAGCCGTGAGGTAGTAAGACCAGTGAAGGGCAGCCGAAGCCCTGTCTGTCCTGCGCTGGGGGTTCCTCGGAAATTTTTGGAAGCAAAATGCCGAGGACAGAGGTGCCTGCAAGGGCCTGCAGAGAGGCCCCAGGTGGATGCAGAGGCCCAGGTGGCCGCGTGAATGAGGGAGGGGGAGGCCTGTGGCTCGAGAGGAGGCCCAGCGGGACCGCACAGAGGGTCTCCATGGCCGGCTCGCCGGGCCCCATGTGTTGGTGGCCATTGTGTCCCATGGGGGGCCGTGCCAGTGGGGTGGCCGGGCCGTCCGCAGTTGTCCCCAGCTCCACCCTGTCCCCGCACGCACATAACTGCATGGCTATGACCCCTCACCTCGCGCCCCCTCTCCTCGCACCCGTCTTTGCCCTTCTTTCTCTGGCTCTGGGTGGGGAGAGGGGAGCGGGCAGAGTCAGGCCCAGCTGGGGGCATCAGCAGGGACAGCGGGCCCCAGGCCTCTCAGGGGAAGGGCACAGGGAGGACAACCAGTCACTTCCCTCCCTAGGTCCCTTCAGTCCCACCACCCAGACCCCAGGCCGGGTCTCCCCGCCCCACCCCATCCTCTGTCCTCCAGCTCTGGCTCCACCAGTGTCCCCGCGGCCCCGCCCTTCCCAGCCCCACCTTTCCTCTTAGGGCCACTGGGAGTCACAGCAAAGCAGCCCAGCTAGCCGAGGCCGAGGACTGTCTGCCCTGCCAGCCTGGCCTGCCTGGGCGCCGGAGGCACCTCACCCTGCAGGAGGAGCGGGAGGTGGAGGGCGTTGCTTTGCAAAAACATGCTCACGTGTCTCTCCCCGGCCGCCCCGTGTGTGGCCGCCCTCTGTGTGCGTCTGTCTGTCTCCCCCAGGCCTTATGACCTCTAGAAGTCCGGCCGTGCAGGAGCACGCCAGCACCAACATGGGGCTGGAGGCCATTATTAGAAAGGCACTCATGGGTAAATATGATCAGTGGGAAGAGCCCCCGCCACTCGGCGCCAATGCTTTTAACCCTCTGAATGCCAGTGCCAGCCTGCCCGCTGCCGCTATGCCCATAACCGCTGTTGACGGACGGAGCGACCACACGCTCGCCTCGCCAGGTCTGCAGGCCCCCCGCCCCTCTGTCCTGTCCCTGTGTCGTTAATCCTCTGAGCCCCCCTTGAGCTTTGGAGCTTGTGACTATTTTGTGCGCATTTGATGTCTCTGGAATTTGCTGATCTGCAGCTGGGCTGGCACCTGGGGTTGCGGCACCCAGTGCCCACAAGGCCCGGGCCTGCTGCTTCTCGGACGCTCACTGCTGCCCACGGCTGCCCCCGCCCCCGCTGGGCCTCTGCCCGTGCCCGCGCCCAGCTCACGTCTCCCTGGGGAGACCAGGCTGCAGGGAGGACCTACCTGTGCTGCGTGGACAGTGGGGTCAGCAGCCAGGTCCCCTGCATGTGGCCTGATGGCCCTGGGGCTGAAGGGAGACCCACATTCCTAATGTGCCCAAGAGCCTGAGGGCCAGCTCCCTGCCCTGTTAGGACCTGCTTTACTCAGCAGGGAGCCGAGCGGGGGCCTTGGGCTCAGTGTCCAACCTGGACACTGAGGTAGGCTCCAGGAGGTTCTGGGCTCTTAGGGTCAGGCCTGGCCTCAGGGTCCGGCTTCTTGGCAGAGGCCTGCAGCCCACCCAGCCCCAGTGCCATTCTGGGCAATGTTCAGAGTCCAGCAGAGGCTTCCTGCCCAGAGTTCTAGCCCCAGGGTGTGGGGAGGTGCAGGGCAGCCTGAGGGGCCAGCAGCCTGGCCTCAGTGAAGACTGATCCCCAAGTTGCAGGCCCTTACTGAGTCTGGCCATCTGGTCGACCTTGGCCTCCTGGAAGCAGGGAGTCATTGTGCTCCTGGCCTCTCCTCGGAGGACCCAGAAGCAGGTGGCTTCCCCTGGGCAGGATGTCACCCCCACCCTCTGCAGCATGTGTCATCTCCAGTGTCCAACACAACCCTTCCCACTTTGTCCCCTTGTAGGTGGTGGTGGGAAAGCCAAGGTCTCTGGCAGACCCAGCAGTCGAAAAGCCAAGTCCCCTGCCCCGGGCCTGGCGTCCGGGGACCGGCCACCTTCTGTCTCCTCGGTGCACTCGGAGGGAGATTGCAACCGCCGGACGCCACTCACCAACCGTGTGTGGGAGGACCGGCCCTCATCCGCAGGTGGGCGTCGGTCGGCCCCATGGCCAGCTGCGTCCTGGTGGCTGACGGACACAGGCTAGGACACAGTGTGACTGGGGCTGCCAGGGAAGCCAGACCAGGCTGTGGGAGCGAGTGTGGCACGGGGCTTGGCAGGCCACGATGGGGCTGGACATCCCCCTGTGGCCCCCGGGGAGTGCTGCAGGCCTTGAGTAGGGAATGGGTGGTCTGGGGGTGCCGGAGGGGTCCCGGGCCTCAGGGGAGCAGACTGTGGGGCACAGGTGAGCGAGGTAGAGGCCTGGGGGTCAGGAGTGTGGAGCCGAGGGCAGACAGTGGAAGGCCTAGTCCAGGGCAGTGGCTGGGCCTCCTGAGCAGCTGCCTGTCTTTGCCGCAGGTTCCACGCCTTTCCCCTACAACCCCCTATTCGTGCGGCTGCAGGCGGGTGCCATGGCTTCCCCGCCCCCGCCCGGCTTCCCTGCGGGCAGTGGGCCCCTCGCCGGCCCCCACCACGCCTGGGAGGAGGAGCCCAAGCCGCTCCTGTGCTCGCAGTACGAGACGCTCTCCGACAGCGAGTGAGCCGGTGGGCACGGTGCAGGTCCCTGCCTGCAGCAAGACGGCCCAGGAGGCAGACAGGTGGCTGCAACGCACCCCACCAAGGAAGGAGCCCCGAGTCTGCCCGCACGTCCGTCCGTCCGTCCGTCCGTCTGTCCACCCGGAGCTGGCATCCTGCCTGTCTAAAGCCTTAACTAAGACCCCCCACCCCGGCTGGCCCTGCACAGTGACCGTACTCAGGGCACGTTCACCTGGTGCTCGGGAGGGGAGGGGAGGGCAGCAGGCTGGGGAGGGGACACAGTGAGCGCATGGTGACCACAAGCACGCAGCCGGGGTGACCAGGGACCTGAAAGAGGATGACCAGGCGCCTCTATGCCACTGCCTCCCCTTTCTCCATTTGGAACCAAAGTCTAAACTGAGCTAGCCCCCGCCCCCATCCCGCTTAGCGCTCGGGACAGACGGACGGGCACTGTCCAGCCTGCAGCGCTCTGTCAGTCCCCACAGGCTGCCCCACAAGACTGCTGGGAACCACGTCAGACCAGGCGGGGGACGAGAGGGCTGGGCGCGGCCTGGGGCAGCAGAACCACAGGACCTGGACGTGGCCCTCCTGCCCGCCGGGGGGGCGGGGGGCGGGGCAACGTGTTGGTTTACAGGGTATATTTTTGATACCTTCGATGAATTAATTCAGATGTTTTATGCGAGGAAGGACTCACCCAGTATTATGCTGCTGTGCTTTCGATCTCCGCTTACGTTGGGGAGCGTGCAGGCCGACCACCGGTGACCCCTCGTCCACGGGACCCGGGGCGGGCCGCCGGCTCACAGCCGCCACGCCCTCCATCCCTCCCTTCCTTGGGCAGAACGAGTTTGATGCGTGTTCTGTGGCCACCATCTGCGCATGGTGGTGGCCTTCTGTCATTTACACACGTTGTTCTAATTAAAAAGCGAATCATACTCGATACAGAAGTGTCTTCTCTGCTTTGGACGGGGCAGCCAGGAGGGCGCGCAACTGTGGGCCAAGGGACACTAGGAGTGTCCCCTTTGACTCACCCTTTGCCATGAGAAAGGCAAGGGAAGGGTGTCATCCTCAGGGCATTGAAAAGTCACATCAGGTGCCGTCACGTGGTGAAGGCGCGTGGCACTTGCCCACCGCACAGGTGTCGAGTGTTCACACCAGGGTGACCCCTGGAGGAGGTGCCCAGCACCCACACCTTGGTTGTTATGTCCAGACGTCAGCTGTGGTGACAGGTCCCCTATGGCTGTTGGTCCTTAGGTCTTCCTGTCACACCTGCCCACTGCATTGGTGCTAAGGAGTGGGCAACCTTCCCCACGCTCACTTCCAACCCCGGGTAGAGGGGGGCAGCCGCCAGCTCCTGGTCAGCAGCTGCCCACCTTTGCAGATTCAGCCTGAACCAGCCACAGCGCCGATCTTCCTCGGCCAAGCCTGGCTTCTGCCCACCTCCTGCTCTTTCCTTTGGCCTCCTCGGAGCCCTGCCCAGCCACCCTGCCCCAGGACTGACCAGGCATGTGGGCAGAGGACAGCCAGGGAAGCCCAGGGCGGGCTGAGAGGGTGAGCACCTCGGCAGTGTCTGCCAAGGGGTGGCTCTGATCCTCCTGCCCAGCCAGCCCTCTCCCTCGGCCTCCGAGGCCCAAGCACCCCAGGATGCTAGCCTCAGCCCACTTGGGGACAGATGGCCCCCTGTCCCCAGAAGGAGGCCCACCTGGCCCAGTGGCTGGTTAGCAGGGCCGCCGTGTCTGGCCTRGGTCAGGGGTCATGCAGCTAGAGAGCCGCTTCCGAGGCTCCGACAGGCTCCCCGGGGGGAGGACGGCCAGGCCTGTGCCGGTTCCTGACTCCAGCCTCCCATTTGGCCCCACAGAGACCAACCCTCGCAGGGCCTTGGGGGACCACAGAGGAGAGCCTAGGTCCCCTGAAGAGAAATCGTCATCCCTGCCCAGCCTCTGTTGTCAACCCCAGCCTTCAGTGCCCGGCTCAGGTTCGGCCACAGCTGTGGTGGGGACCTGAGGGCCTCAGACCCATGCAGGCCTGGCCGCCAGGTGTGGCGTCCACCCCAGAGAGAGGATCCCAACGCCTCCCGACAGGGGTCAGCCTGCTCCCCAGCTATAGTACCAAGGTGGCAGGCAGGTGGCAGTGTGGGCTCCCTGTCCCTCTTCCTCCGCACACACCAGCCCCCTGCAGGAGTCCAGATGGGTCAGGCCCAGCTGGCCACACCAGCTGCCGGGGGGTTGGCTCCTCCCTTGTGGAGCCTCCAGGACCCCATGGCATCTCCCTCGGCTGCAGTCAGAGCTGTGTGGGGACAGACTAGAGGCCAGCCACGGGGCATCTCTATCTGCCTTCTCTGAAGGACGGTGGCCCAACCCACCACAGGGTGTGTTGGCAGGACGAGGAGTGATCTGGTGCCACCTGGTTGACAGCTATCTCTCGGCTGCATCCAGCCGGAGGCCATTCCACCCCACCCCCACCCCCGCTGGACTCTTCCTCACTCCATCTTTAAAATGCAGACTTATGCAGTTCCCCTCACCTTCGTCTCCCAGGAAAACTCCTAGGCACACTTCAAAACCCAATAGGGCATTATGTCCTTGAACTCACCGCCCCCCTCACGTCCTCTCAGTACAGGGCAGGCTGTGCCCATCACACCAGGCAGAACCCCCGGGGGTGGAGTAGAGCTCATCTCTTCCCCTCCTGACCCTGTATTTTGCTCCAAACCTCTTGCAACCTCCAAACAACAGAAAATTAGAAAGTGCTTCATAGAGGACAGCTGTGGGCAAATGTCACCGTATTCTAGGACATTGGGAAGTTGGCAGAAATGAGATTCCTGCCCCACATGGAGAGTAGGGAACCCCAGGTCTGGAGCGGGGCTGGGGGGTTGTCTGGAGCCCCCTCTATGACGGTGGGTATGGTGCCCAAGATTGGAGCTAGACCCTCACCTGGGACCTGGCCTCTGCCTCCGAGTCTGAGCAGGTGACTACAGGAAAGGCACGGGGCTCTGCGGGAGAAGGCCTGGTGTGGGAGTGGACCGGAGGCCCCCAGGCCCCGGGGCTTGCTGGGTGCAGCCAGGATGCCCTCCCGGGGGGGGGGGGCAGTCTTGGGGAGAGAGGGGTTGAGGCAACCCTGTGTGGGACAGGCTCAGGTGAGGCTCAGCTGGGGACCGTTTGGAGACCAGGTGACCAGATACCAGCCAAGTTGGGGGACCCAGAGTTTCTAAGAAAGGGCCAGCTGTTGCTCAGAGAGGTCATTTTCTGGTTTTCCAAAAATGCCACCTGCGTCTTATGCATTTAACCAACCCAGTGGGAGGGGTGGGGTGAAGCTCCCAGGAACCGTGGACATGGGACTCCTGGACGAGCCACGGAGGACAGCCTATCCCAGACCCAGCGCGGCTGTGTGCCAGAGCTCTTGGCCCAGGGGTCAGCTGCCAGCACTGCAAAATAAAGGACTCCTAGGCTGCCCGCCCAGGGGGGAACTGGCCTCTGCATCTGTTGGGGGTGACACTGAGGCTGGCTGTCAGCAGGATAGGGGTGAACTTGCTTCCTGTCCCCCAGGAGTAGGGTCCCCGAGAAACTGGGTGGGGCCAGGGAAGAGTTGACCCAGGGACACCTGGCTTCCCCTTCCCTACCCCAGCGGTGCCGGAGGGTCTCAGACACAGTAGAGGAAGCCCCTTGGGGTTTGCACGTTTTATTCCGATGATCAATTGACTTAAGTTATCAATCAGGGAGGTACCTTGGGACACGCTGTCTGCATAGATATATAAAAATACATCAGTCGCTTGGCTTCGCCTCCCGGTGCCCCTCCTGGCTCCTGGGGGGGGGGGCTGCAGCCCCAGAGGCCCTTCCCCTCCACTCCTGGGGGTTCCCAGGGGAGCAGCAGCCAGCCAGCCGCCCAGCCACTGGGTGCCTTCAGGTCTGGGGGAGGAAGGTTCAGGGGGACATCTCAGTGACCACAGCAGGGGCCTCTGGGATGTGGGCTCAGTGGCCCAGGCGTGGCCCCATGCCACCTGAGGCGTCCCAGGGAGTGGGAGCAGAACACGCCTGGCTGGGCTCCTGGCTTTCAGAATCATGTGGTCAGCTGGAGCCTCGCCAGGAATGGACAAGGCCCACGGTTTCTCCTTAAGCAGACAGCAACGCTCCAGCCTGGAGTCCAGACTGGCCTCGGGTAGGGCTCAGGACGTTCCCAGGAGCTTGAAGCCTCCCCCTGGCACCTGGCAGATGGCTTTGAGGTCCCAAAGTCCCACCGCTGAGGGCGTTGGTGGTGCGCCAGGTGCTGGCAGGGGCCTCCCTGCAGTGAGGCTCAGGGTGTGGAGGCTAAAGGCCTCCTTGGCAGGTAGGGCCCTGGACTGTCCACACTGGCGGCCACAGGACCCTGGATGGCAGCRGCTCAAGGCACATTCTAGGGCGCCCCACCCCACGGAACCAGCACCAGCCTCGGCCTTAGCGCTGGCCTCAGCTACCTCCAGCTCAATGGCCTCCAGAGCTGGTGCTGGGCTGGGCCCAGCCCTCTGGTCTCAGGGCCACTGGCCACGTGGGCTGCACCGCTGAGAGGCCCATGTTGGAAAGCGCCCTCTCCAGGGGCGRGGCGGGCGTGGGTGGCACCGCTGTGCCCTCACACAGCCCCAGAGCGACGCCTGCGCGGTCGGGGACACCTCTGTGCCCCGCAAGGACAGCCAGGTGGCTGGCCCCTCCCTCCCTGGAGGGGCCGCCACGTACTCCTGCGCGGCTGGAGGCTGGTGTCGCGGGTCGGGCTGGTGCGGGGCGCGGGCTGCCGGCGGCCTAGGGCGCCGGCGGGGCGCAGAGCCGCAGCTGCACGCTGGCCGTGAAGGAGCGGCGYGCGCGGCCCAGGCTGCAGCGCAGGGTGGTGCGGAAGGAATTGCGMGCGCGCTTGGGGAAGATGATGGTGGTGCTGCGGAAGCGCAGGGCGCGCGGGCGCGGCTCCAGGGTCAGCTGGCTGCGGTAGCTGCGCCACGTGCAGTTGGGCGCCGCCACGATGGTCTCGCTGTAGGCCGTGACGGTGGGCACCGGCGCGTAGAACACCTTGTCGCGGAAGCGCCTCTCGGAGGAGAACTGGACCTCAGAGCTGCAGCTGGGGGCGGGAGGGAGGCGTGAGCCAGGAGGCGGCCCCCGCGTCCCCAACCCAAGGACCCCTGGACCAGCCAGGCCGAGATCAGGAGAAGGTCACAGGCAGGCCGAGGGGCTGCCCCAGGAGGGGACAACCCAACGCCACACACGAGCCTGCGTGGATCCTGGACTGGCATGAACCGGCGTGATTGGGGCTGAGGATAGAATTCGAGGACACTGGACTTACTGGTTTTGACAACAAAGCTGTTGTCATGGGGGAGTGTCCCTGAATAGGGTTACAGGGCAAGGTGGGACCTGCCCTCTCTCATGCCTCTGGAAGAAGGGAGGCAGGAAGACACCCAATCTGGGGCCTGCTGGGCACAGGGCGAGGTGTTCGCACAACTTCCAATGAGTTTATCAAAGATGTCCCAGAAGGTCCCCTGGGGCCCCCAGAGGAGTGACAGCCTCAGTGACTGACCCCAGCCCCAGTTGCCCTTCTAGACGTCTTGGAATTGAGCCAGAAGCACAGGCTCCAGGAGGGGCCATGGGCAGGGGGCAGCACTCAGAGGGAGGGGCCTGCAAAACCCCAGGCTGGCCTGGACCCACCCCACCCCGGCCAGGGCCAGCGCCCCTGCCCCACCAGGCTGTGACCCACTCACCAGATTTCATGCGTGGGCTCCGGGTCCACCTTGATGCTCTCCCCAAAGAACACCGGCAGCATCCGGGGCCTCATCTCGGGGGCCGGGGGGTTCTGCAGGGGGGCAGAGGGCTGTGGGAGGTTCATGGGCAGGGGCCGCACAGCCCTGTGGCTGGACCTCAGCTCCCTGCTGGGCACAGTCTGGCCACCGGACCCCTTCCAGCCTGGCTTGGTCTGGAAGCTGCAT